AATTGTAGAGGAGCTAGAAAGAAAAAAGCCACTCTAAATCTCAAAGAGATAGTAAAAGATCATAGGGTTTTTTTTGTGAGTTTGATTGAAACCAAATTATCTTCTATTGATAGATGGGAGATAGATTCTATGATTGTTATGGATTGGAAGTTTTTTCAAGTTCCTTCAATGGGCTTGTCAGGAGAAAAATTGGTGCTATGGAAAGACAACTTTGCTTCTTTCAATGTTTTGGATTTTTCTTCTCAATTGGTTATTGGTGAACTTGATGTTCCAAATAAAGGAAGATGGAGACTAGCTACAATCTATGGTAGTAAAGATGTATATAGAAGAAGATTTCTTTGGGAAAAGTTGGAATTACATTCTGATACTGAGTTGCCTTTGGTGATAGGGGGTGACTCCAATTTCTTGCTTACTAAGGAGGATAAAAGAGGAGGGAGAAGAATTGCCTTTTCCCAAGGACCTAAAGAGATGCAATCTTTCTTATCTTGCAATGACTTGCATGAGGTAGGATGGGTTGGACCAAGGTTCACTTGGTGTAACAACAAAGTAGGTGCTGAAAGAATTTTGGAGAGACTCGATAGATGCTTTATAAACTCTGCTACCTTTAAATCGTCCCATCGAATGGTGGTGAGACATTTGGCTAGAATTGCATCTGGTCCAAGATTTAAAAATCGAAGCATTTTGGACTAGAGCCTAAGAGTGAAGAGAGAGAATGTCCAAGAATGTAGGAAGGATTTTGGAAGATTTTGGTTTCTCTTGTTGAAGATGGAGGAGGGTGGCTGTCATCCTTGGATGACCGGAACACCTTCTTCTTATTATCTATCGCGCATCCAATTTCATTGGATTCAAAAGGTAGATTGTCATTCAATCGCAACATTTCCCAAAATTCCTGTTTTTTGAATTCTCCTCTGGTGATCAGAGAGGAAAGTTTGTCTTTATAGCAAGTGGTTTTGGCAGATTCAGTCAAATGAAAATGTGTTTTTTCATATTTGAAAAGTAAGTCAAATTCTTCTAAATCAGGCTTTATTCCTCTAGCTAATGATTTGGAGCCTTCTTCATCTATTCCTCCTTCAGATTTGGTTAATGCTAATGTGTGGATTAAAAAAGCACATATAAAAATTAATTTGAAAGATGTTCATGATGATATTGAAGTTGCAAATGTTGTCAAGCTTTCTTTGGAAAAAGAAAAAGCTAATGTTCAAATTTTGAGGAATTCTTGAGTGGTGAAAATCTTATGTAAGAACTTTCCTTTTTCATAATGTTCTATTGAATTAATGAATCAATGGAGTAAATTTGCAGGATTTCATTTATCCTCACTTGGGTTAGACTGGCTTCTATGTTCTTTTCAGTCGCATGAAGCCATGGAAGAAGTTCTTAATGGAGGTCCTTGGTTTGTAGGGGGGTTTGTCATTGGTGATGACAAATTGTCTCCTAACTTCAATCCAATTTCAAGGGATGGGATTTCCTCTCCCATTTGGGTTAGTTTACCTCATTTTCCTCTTCATTGCTATGACGAAACTAATATTGCTAGAATTGTTTCTAGAATTGGAACTCCTTTATTTAATTTTATTTTTTTTAGAAAATGCAAAGAGCAGTAATTTTATTAAAGCAACTAAGTACAAATAAATTCCTTCTTCAACAAATGAAGAAAAGAAGGAGGAATGCTACTATCGTTCAGATCTTTCCAAAAAAAATCTGAACGTAGAGCATAGTTAGCACAAACATCAGCTAACTTATTATAATCTCTTCTAGCAAAAGAAAAAATAACTTGCTTAAAATCTTTTAGAAAATCTAAATCCTTTGGATTTAGATATTCTTCTGAAATACAATTATTCTGAAGAGCCCTTTGAAATAGAAGAATAACGTTGTGATTATCACCTTCAATCATAAAACCTTTAGCATCAAACATCCAATCTTGAACATACTTTCTTAAGGAAAGAATAGAAAGTATTTCAACTTGAGCAATATCCCAGTGATTAAGGCTGAAACCAAATGCTCCATAAAATCTTCCCTTGTCATCTCTGAAAACACCTCCTATTCCAGCTAAATTGTTACTGGATAAAGAAGCATCGACATTGCATTTAATCCAGCCAGGAGGTGGAGGAAGTCAAGCTGTCATACCCAGCATTATGTGCTGATTAGCTTCCCAGTTTTCCCATACTGGATTGTTACGGAATGATCCAAATGCATATTCTAATGCATTAGCTACTAAGAAAGAACAGTTGTCTTCATTACCACCATGAATTATTTTGTTTTTGCTTTTCCAACAGCAAAAAATCACCGAACAGTATAAATTCCCAATGATAGGATTCTGTACCAAGAGCTTCAGTAACTCATTCAGACATTCATCCAAAGAATTAAAAGCAGGGAAACGAAAATTCCAGTTTTCCAGCTTACCGCATACATTTTTGATAATTCCACATTTCACAGCTATATGTTTGGAGTCTTCCATGCTTTGACATAATCTTGGACATCCATTATCTTCAATTATACCTCTATGATGAAGAAAACATTTAGAAGGTAAAGCATTAATACAAAGACGCCACCAAAACAATTCAACTTGAGGTCTTAGTTTAAGATTTTTAGTCCATCTCCAGTTTAAACTTTCCATGTCATGTTCTCTAGTTTTTTCATAGGCTAAAGCAGCAACTGATTTTCCCGAGCATTTGGAAATAAATTCCATACAGTCACTATCAATATTAGAGAAGATAGGAACATGACTGATTAAATAAACAAGCTGCAAACCAAAGTATTTCTTTAGGTAGTCATCATTCCATTCTCCATTTCTGATAAATGCTGAAAGATTACAGCAATGTTGATCTATAATAGATGTAAAAGTAGGCCACTTATTTAAGCATTTATCCATAAGCCATACATCATTCATAGTATTCACATCTTGTCCGTTACAAATCTTCCATCTCAAAAGAGGGTATAAGAATTTAGCTCCATTAAAAATAATTTTCCATGTAGAAGAAGAATAGCATCTATTTCCACCTTCCAGAGATCATTCCCGTATCTGGCAGTAAGCATCTTATTCAGTAAAGATGAAGGATTTGAAATAAAATTGAGGGCCAATTTGGCTCTTAACGGACCAATTCTTTCCAGCACCGATTGCACCCCTCTACCTCCTTTGCTTTTCGGTTTGCACATTACATCCCAAGCTACAAAATGAATACCAAAGCTCCCATCTCTTTTATTCCATAAAAATTTTTTGCACATCTTATCTATCTCTTTTAAAATCCTCAAAGGAACAAGAGATAAAGTAGATACAAAAATAGACAAAGAGAGAAAAGAAGCATTTAACAGAACTATTTTTCCAGCTAGAGAAATGAACTTATTTCCCCACATATTCAATTTGGCAACAGCTTTGTCAATTAAATAATTGAAGTCTGATTTGACAAGTCTTCTTAATACAATCTTAGTACCAAGAAAATCCAGCTCCTTCACAACTTTAAAGTTTAGCAATCTGGAAAGATTTTTGACCGAACTTCTAGAAATGGATTTACTAAAAAGTAAAGAGGACTTGCCTGAATTCACCACTTGCCCAGTCCACTTACAGTAATTCTTCAAGATTGCAGAAATAGTCTTCAAGCTTATCTTATTAGCCTCTGAAAAGATGATTAAATCATCTGCATACATAAGGTGAGAGATCAAAGGAGCATTTGGTGAAATTTTCATACTAATACTACCTCCTTTTCTTGAGAATTCTTCAGTAGTAGTTGGGAGCACATGATAAAGAGGTAAGGAGAAAGTGGACATCCTTGTCTAAATCCACATTTAGACTCAATCCAATTTGAGTATTTTCCATTGATCAATATAGAAAAATTCGGATTCATAACACATTCCATAATAGGATATGAAAATTTTGTTAGAAATCCAAACCAATGAAGCACTTGATTGAGAGTAGGCCAGCACATGCTATCATATGCTTGCTCCATTTCAACTTTAATAGAAACAAAACCCTTTTTAGATTTGGAAAATCTAAATTTGTGAAATAGTTCTTGAGCAAGAAGAATTTGATCCGACATAAATCTCCCTTTTACAAAAGCATATTGAACCTTTGAAATAATCTTGGGAAATAAATTACCCATTCTATTTAATAACATGCTGACCACAATTTTATAGATTGTATTACAAAGGCTAATGGGTCTGTAATTAGAAGGTAATAGGGGATTTTTTACCTTAGGAATGAGCACCACATTAGTATCTTTCCAATCCGTGCACATAGAACCTGTTTTGAAGTAAAAATTAATGGCATTCCACACATCATTGTGAATAATATGCCAATAAGCTTTGATAAAGGAATAGGTAATTCCATCTCTTCTCGGGGCTTTATTCAAACCCAGTTTATTGACAACTACTTTCAATTCTTCTCAAGAAAAATCTCTGTCAAGCATTATAAAATCTACAGCAACAATGGCTTTTGAACATGGAGGCCAATCATCCAAAGAGCATACTCTACTTCTCCATTTGTTTTTGAAGAAATTCAAAAACACCTCAGTAATTTCATCCTGATTTTCAATCAGCAAACCCGCATCGTTTTTAATGTGGTTAATCCAATTAATATTTCTCCTTACTGTTGCAGAAGCATGAAAAAATTTAGAATTACTATCACCATCTTTGAGCCAACGCATTTTGGATCTTTGCTTCCACCAGGTGCATAAACGTCCAAGCGTTGCATTCAAATCCCGAACCCTGGATCTCAACAGATCAATTTTCTGATCAGAAATACCTCCTGTAGATGATTCTTCTTCTTGGAGCTCCAAAATATCCTTTTTTAAACTAATCTTCAACTCAGTTAAGCTTTTATGTTTGGCTTTATTCCAAAAAAACAGAGCTTTTAAGGAACGCCTGAATTTATTATTCAAAATAGTGTCTGCATTGCCTCCTGATGGTTTATTCCAAGCAAACCAAACCACAGATTGAGAAGCTGGAAAAGATAACCAAGTATCTTTAAACCTTAGATTACAATTTTTATGAGCAATAGGAGAAGATATCCTTAACATAACAGGACAATGATTAGATGCAATACGGGCTAGATGTCTTACCATCGCAACTTTCAGTTGATTTAAAGCTGTACAGTTAAGAATGCATCGATCTAATCTTTCTAAGATATGGACCTTACCAGATTTATTGTTACACCACGTGAAATTGGGACCAATAAATCTAGTGTCATGGAAATCATAATCCCTCATGAACGAAAGCATGTCTTGAGCTCCTTGTGACAAAAAAAAAAATTTCCTCCTTTATTTTCATCTTGAGATAAAATGCAATTGAAGTCTCTGTAAAACCCCTTCGAAGTGCATTTTTTTTAGTGGAGTTAGTCCGTACGAACTGACTTTAGTACGGGACGAACTGAAGAAAATTGTGAAGAATCTGTATGGTTTGTCTGGACGAACCTGTACGAGCCTGGACGAACCGTCGGGACGAAATTTGTCCAGAGAGCAAATCGTCTAGGAACGAATGCATTTTCGTCTGAACTAATTTTGTACAGAGGGCAAATCGTCCCAAGACGATTTGGGATCGTCTAGGACGATCTGCATAGATATATATTGGATTGAGATATTTTCGAATCATTTGAAGAGAGAAAAAGCAGGAGAGAGAAAGAGAAGGAAAAGGAAGGAAAAAGACTAGCTTTTGGAGCTCGCGGTGCGCTTTTTGTCTGACGCCGCTGTTAGAAGAATTGTTTGTCTCGAAGTAAGGAATTCGAATCCTATTTTTTATTTCGAAGATTTTGTGTTTTGGTATTTTTCTGCTCAGTTTTGTGTTTTCGTTACCGAAAAATGTGCATATCTTTGTCTTGACGGAACTTTTAATGCGTAACTTTTGGTATGTTATAGAAATGATGTTTTCGTACGATTTGAGTATTTTCTGGAAAGTTTTTACCAGATATTTTGAGTTCTGTGCACTTTTTATCGAATAGGAAATTATCTGGACATTGGAAAATATTGCTTCAGTATAAGTAAAGTTGTGAAACGTTGTTTTACGCGATTTCTGGTAATTTGGTAATTTTCTGAAACTGTGTATTTTGTCTATGTTTGGGATTTATGTCGATTGTACGATATTTTAAGGGTTCTCCTTAATTGAGCTATTTGTATTTTGTTGTTCTATATGATTGAATATACTACTATTACTGAAAGACAAGTAAAGACTGGTTGAACCGTTGGTTAGAGATTGATAGACCTGACTGGATGGTGGGCCAACGGGCTTTCCTTTAAAAAGGGTTTGGTGTTATCCTCTACTGATCACGTGATTACTAAAGGGAGTCATAAGGAGATTATTTTGCCGACGGGCAAGAGTGACGACTCTTATTGAGCCAACAGATACAACGATAAATCGATATTCCAAGATTGAAAAACGCCGTAATAGCCATGTCTTTTACTTGTTGAATAAAGGCTGGTTGAACCGTTGGTTGAAGATTGACCTGTCAGGATGGTGGGCCGACGGACTTTCCTTTAAAAAGGGTTTGGTGTTATCCTCTATTGATCACGTGATACAACGATTAGGAGTCATAAGGAGTTTATGCCGACGGGCAAGGGTGATGACTCTATTATAGCCAACGGATTACTAACATACTAACCTTGAAAAACGCCTTAATAGCCAGTGATTGTACTTGTCGAGTAAAACTATTGTACTGGAATGCATGTGTAAAGTATTGTTCTTATGATCTTATTATGGATTTACTGATTTATCGATATTGACTGATTTATTGATATGGAATTGATTTATGAATTTTGAATGGATTTACTGATATTGAATTGATTTATTGATACTGAATGGCTTTACTCTACGGATTTATGAGTTTCCTGACATTGCACGATTTCATACTGTACATGTCACTGAACACAGATACCGATATGGATATTGATATTGCATTGATTCATTGATAATACCGATATCGATACTACTGATTCATTGTACCGATCTTATAGCACGTGATACACCGATACATGTGATACATGTGATACATTGAGCACGTGATCTAGAATATGATTTTACTGTATTGATAGATTTGATTGCTTTTAATTATTATTATTGATTTATTGATTTAATTATTTTATGTGATTTCATACCGTTTGATATTATTGATCGGAAGTGATTTCTTTATTGATCTGATGTTAATCGTATTTGATTTGACTGATGTTATAGATAAGACGACTACTGTAGGGATTTTATGCACGTACTGATTCATTGAGCTTTACGGACTTTTATACTGCTTACTGATTCTTTAAATATCAATTAAGGATTTGACCTTTTCTATATTGATTTTCTTTACTGCATTGATTTCTATTTTTGTACTGATTTTCGTATCTGCATCGACTCATTGATCATGTGCAAGTGGTTGATATTGATTTGATTGATTTACATGCATATTATTTTCATACCGTGCTTTGATTTCAGTTGTAGGTTTTGGTGACCTGCTGGGCTTTTTGAAGCTCATTATATGTGGTTAATGATTTCAGGTGCAGAGCCTCCCGCGTGAAGCTTCTTTCAGACGCTGGTATAGTTTTTTGAGCTTTTGGTTCTAGCATTGTTTTGTAGCCTGAGTGGTTATTGTACATGTTCTTTTGGACGCTACTTTTGTATTGTAAATATGAAATGCCTTAATGTGAATTATAGTATTTTGATGTTCTGTTTTTATTTAATGCAATTATCATTCTGGATGTTTGTATGATCTGAGCGAGAAATGTAGAAAAAAAAAAAAGAAGACTGTCAGACGAATCCTTTCACTATAGATGCCTGGGGCGTCACAAATTGGTATCAGAGCGAGTGTAGTGAAAGGATTTGCTTATATCCAGAATTATAGTGATGATTGCATTATTTATTGATTTGTTTTGTTTTGCGTGTTTGATTTTTTTTTATTATCCCTACGGTTTTATTTGAATGAATTTGTATTGATCAGGCCAATGAATCAGAAAGGAAAGAAAGTTGAATCTGCTACTGAATTTTCTATAACATTTGAAAATATGAAAAAGTTTGCCGATATGGTCGCTCAAATGGTGAGCGATAAATTAGCAAAACGTTCTGGACGTAGTGCTAAGAAAAGTGGTGAAAGCAGCAGAAAAAGGACTATTGATGTTTGCGTATGTTGTTGGAAGAGACATATGGGACAATGTTATCGTAGAACAGGACAATGCTTTCAATGCGGTGCTTATGGACATAGAATGATACAATGTCGAGGACTTGGGCAACGAGCTGTTCAGACTGAAAATATACATTTGGAAAATGTGAAAGATGTTTCTCAAGTGCCTGAAAATATGACTGGTATGAGTTTATTTAACATATTGTATTCGACAAGATTTTTCATTGATTTCGATATGATTTGTACGATTTTCTGATTTGGTTTACGTTTTGATTGAACGTATTTGTTTGTCGATTTTGCAATTCGATTCCTTAAGGGAAATGTTGAGGACGACATTTTTCTTAAGGTGGGTAGATTGTATCCCTCAGAAGTGCATTTTTTTAGTGCAGTTAGTCCGTACGAACTGACTTTAGTATGGGACGAACTGAAGAAAATTATGAAGAATCTGTATGGTTCGTCTGGACGAACCTGTACGAGCCTGGACGAACCGTCAGGACGAAATTTGTCCAGAGAGCAAATCGTCCAGGAACGAATGCATTTTCGTCTGAACGAATTTTGTACATAGGGCAAATCGTCCCAGGACGATTTGGGATCGTCCGGGACAATCTGCATGGATATAGCAGGAGAGAGAAAGAGAAGGAAAAGGAAGGAAAAAGATTAGGTTTTGGAGCTCGCGGTACGCTTTTTGTCCGACGCCGTTGTTAGAAGAATTGTTTGTCTCGAAGTAAGGAATCCGAATCCTATTTTTGATTTTGAAGATTTTGTGTTTTGATATTTTTCTGCTCAGTTTTGTGTTTTCGTTACCGAAAAATATACATATCTTTGTATTGACGGAACTTTTACCGCTTAACTTTTGGTATGTTATAGAAATGATGTTTTTGCACAATTTGAGTATTTTCTGGAAAGTTTTTACCGGATATTTTGAGTTCTGTGCTTTTTTTATTGAATAGGAAATTATCTGGATATTGGAAAATATTGCTTCAGTACAAGTAAAGTTTTGAAATGTTGTTTTACGCGATTTCTGGTAATTTGGTAATTTTCTGAAACTGTGTATTTTGTCTCTGTTTGGGATTTATGTCGATTGTACGATATTTTAAGGGTTCTCCTTAATTGAGCTATTTGTATTTTGTTGTTCTATATGAATGTGAATATATGATTAAATATACTACTATTACTGAAAGACAAGTAAAGACTAGTTGAACCGTTGGTTGGAGATTGATAGACCTGACAGGATGGTGGGCCGACGAGCTTTCCTTTAAAAAGGGTTTGGTGTTATCCTCTATTGATCACGTGATTACTGAAGGGAGTCATTAGGAGATTTTTCTGCCGATGGGCAAGAGTGACGACTCTTATTGAGCCAACGGATACAACGATAAATCGATATTCCAAGATTGAAAAATGTCGTAATAGCCATGTCTTTTACTTGTTGAGTAAAAGCTGGTTGAACCGTTTGTTGAAGATTGACCTGTCAGGATGGTGGGCCGACGGACTTTCCTTTAAAAAGGGTTTGGTGTTATCCTCTATTGATCACGTGATACAACGATTGGGAGTCATAAGGAGTTTAAGCCGACGGGCAAGGGTGACGACTCTATTATAGCCAACGGATTACTAACATACTAACCTTGAAAAAAGCCTTAATAGCCAGTGATTGTACTTGTCGAGTGAGACTACTGTACTGGAATGTATGTGTAAAATATTGTTCTTATGATCTCATTATGGATTTACTGATTTATCGATATTGACTGATTTATTGATATGGAATTGATTTATGGATTTTGAATGGATTTACTGATATTGAATTGATTTATTGATACTGAATGGCTTTACTGTACGGATTTATGAGTTTCCTGTCATTGCACGATTTCATTGATATTTCATACTGTACATGTCACTGAACATAGATACCGATATGAATATTGATATTACATTGATTCATTGATACTACCGATACCGATACTACTGATTCATTGTACCGATCTTATAGCACGTGATACACCGAATACTGACCGATACATGTGATACATGTGATACACTGAGCACGTGATCTAGAATATGATTTTACTGTATTGATAGATTTGATTGCTTTTAATTATAATTTTTGATTTATTGATTTGATTGTTTTATGTGATTTCATACCGTTTGATATTATTGACCGGAAGTGATTTCTTTATTGATCTGATATTAATTGTATTTGATTTGACTGATGTTATAGATAAGACGACTACTGTAGGGATTTGATGCACGTACTGATTCATTGAGCTTTACGGACTTTTATACTGCTTACTGATTCTTTAAATATCAATTAAGGATTTGGTCGTTTCTATATTTATTTTCGTTACTGCATTGATTTCTGTTTCTGTACTGATTTTCGTATTTGCATCGACTCTTTGATCATGTGCAAGTGGCTGATATTGATTTGATTGATTTATATGCATATTGTTTTCGTACCGTGCTTTGATTTCAGTTGTAGGTTTTTGGTGACCTGCTGGGCTTTTTTAAGCTCATTATATGTGGTTAATGATTTCAGGTGCAGGGCCTCCCGCGTGAAGCTTCTTTCAGACGCTGGTATAGTTTTTCGTAGCTTTTGGTTCTAGCATTGTTTTGTAGCCCGAGTGGCTATTGTACATGTTCTTTTGGACGCTACTTTTGTATTGTAAATATGAAATGCCTTAATGTGAATTATAGTATTTTGATGTTCTGTTTTTCTTTAATGCAATTATCATTCTGGATGTTTGTATGATCTGAGCGAGAAATGTAGAAAAAAAAAAAAGAAGACTGTCAGACGAATCCTTTCACTATAGATGCCTGGGGCATCAACCGCATCACAGTCTCCTCCCATGACCATAGGAAGTTTAGACGATTTAAATTTCTCCAATTTGTTCCAAAGGATTCTTCTCTCACAACTATCTGTGCTACCATAGATTGTAGCTATGATCCAAGAAGTTTTGTTTGCAATTTTCAATTCTCCGACTACTATCTGATTAGAAGTTTCCATAACAGAAAAACAGGCCAAATCCGACCTCCAACATATCATAATGCCACCAGATAAACCTCTAGCTGGAAATAAATAGAAGTCCCACATGTCTCCTATAAATCTTTAAAACTCCAAAGAATCTATAGAAGAAAGTTTAGTCTCAAGAAGACCCACAAAAATTGCATCATTTTCCTTTATAATTTCCTTCAAATACCGGGAGGCCTCAACTTTTCTAGCCCCCCTAACAATTCCAGAATATAAATGAGCTCATTTTGGATTAGAAGTGGGAAAAGACCCACTACCTTTCCTTTTGATCAACTCACCTTTCCTGAATTTTGAAGGTAAACTAACATTACCCAATGATTTCAATTCCTTTTGAAGTTTAAATTTGATCACATTAGTAGCTGGAATCCTAGCTGTGACTGGAGTAGTAGATAATTCATTGCCATCTTCAATAATCTCCACATATTTTTCAATCTTGTCACCCGTATCTACATTAAACACAGGTTTTTGAGATGAATATGGAATCACAGTAGATTTGATTCCTGAATCATCTGTTATAATTTCCAATTCCAGCTGTCTTTCTTCATTATCAATCAAAGACTTTGCTATAGTAGTAATTGCATTTTCCTCTTCATTCACATTTTGAAGTAAGGAGAACATGTTTTTTCTCTCAATAACTACAGGAATTTCCATATCCATAACATTTTCTGCTACCAATTCAGCAAAATTGCTGACAGAAACCAAATCCACCTTTTCCACTTCCAGGTTCTTGAATTTTAAGATCAGACTTATGATAGGGAATACTTGAGTTCGCAAGTAATCCATTAGGATTTACTTGAGTTCGCAAGCAACCCTTCCCCTCAGTAATATTTGAAATAGAAGAAGAATTATCCTTCTCCAAGTAACCAACCTGAGAACTGTCCAGAATGTTGAAATTGTTCTTCAAAGCATATACAGAATTCTGAAATTCAGAATTATTGTGTGATTCAATGATTTCACCTTCTTCTATGGTGGAATGCAACAAAGCTGGAGGATCCTTTCAAAGAGCAGTTTTATGTTTGGTTACAGTTTTCCCGAAAGCTTTATTCTTCTTGAGTTTAACCTGAATCCAAGGACCTAATTCATCTTGTCCATTGGAATATCCTTCTTCATGATTCAATTTTTTATCACCACCATTTGGATTGGGAACAAATGTATTTGAAGAAGGACATTTGTTCTTCAAATGACCAATTTTACCACAGTGAAAGCAAAGAGAAGAAATCTTCTCATATTCTACTTTTTGGAAGGATCTACCATGCTTTCCTTCAATCCAAACACCTCTTGGTAATTTTTTATCAAGATCAATGCGAACACATACACGGGCATATTCCCTCTTTCCCCATTTAAAAGAATTTCCATCTAGATATAAAGGAGCTCCTATCATAGATGCAATTCTACAAATATTCTATTCATCCCAACAGTGTAGAGGTAAACACGGCATACGAATCCAAATAGGTGTTGTAAGACCTTTAAGAGATTCAGGGGAGAAAGAGGGGGACCATCTATCCAAACCAATAATATTTCCTCCAATGTACCAAGGACCTCCTTCTAGTACCTCTTCAACAACTTCAGGATTGGTAAAAGAACATAGGATCCAATCAAGACCCAAGGTTGTAAGACGAAATTTCCCAAATCTGGACCATTGTTTCTGGAGCTCTCTATTGCAGATCGGGAATGGAATATTGCTTCCCAAGACTTTGATAACCAATGAGTTTCTCAAAACGTGTGAGTTAACGTTTTCAAGATCTGGATTCATAATAACAGCAATCCCGTCATCAGTAACGGGGCTAGAACTCAAATCATAATTGAGTTTGATGTGTTGTGTCTTCTTCCAAGCATTAGGAAAATTATCTTTAGGACCATATTCTGAATTCTTTATCATATCTTCACAGGAAACCTTCTCACCAAGTACAGGTTGCATGAAACTCTTAACAGGTAAATCAGTGCAAAGATCAGAAGGATACTTATCATTAGAATGAGATAAATTATTAACTTTATTCTAGTTATTCGCATTTATCTCTGGCCCCAGGTCAGAGATTGCATTTGAACAACTGAATTTATTAACAAAAATCTTCACATCTGATGAAGAAGCTTCCACATCGTTAGATTTCCGATTCAAATTTGCACTAGATTTCTTAAGACTCGGAGTATTGCAAACAGGATGATTCAAAATACCTTTACCTTTGCCTACCAGTACACAAAATCAGCAGTCTTCTTCACAGGTGATTCGCTTACCTCTCTGATAATCAGAGGTCTCGCGGTATTACTGATATGAACGATATCTTCAACTGAGTGCGGGATCGAATCATTTACTACTCTGATATGTCCATCTAAACTTCCATTAATGTTATACGCGTCGACCGTTGATCGGCGGTCGTCCTCCGTCATCGCCAAGAGCCGGCGATGGTGGTAGTAGAAAAACCGCTAATTGAAAATTCAAAAAAACCGGCTGTTTCTCTCTCTAACGGCTGTTTCGCAGAGCGAAAGTCTGAAAGTGATATCAAGACCTAATTCATTTGGAGAAAGTGAAAATAACATAAAATGAAAAAAAAAAAAAAAGACCAATGCATAAACACACTAAGAAGTTTATAGTATTCATCTAATTGATTTCACTGTGGTTTTATTATTAATTTTTTAACAAGCCCAAATTTCTTCAAGCACTACACAGATGACACCCTTTTTTATTAAAAAATAGGGTGGATGAAAAAAAAAATTGAAATATGCAAAACACTCTTAATAAAATAACTTGTAAATATGCAATATCGTTCATGTATTCCGCCCCAATACCCCCTAGAGGGGGGCTCCATAGGGAAAACTTAGGTCACCAAATGACTATCTACAAGACATTTTTTATAGGATAAAAATTAAGCTCTTAAATTTAACAGGTATATCTCATCAACCCACATAAATTTATGCTTCTTGTGTACAGATATGTCTGTATGAGTCAAATTGATCAAATCATCTTATGAACTTAGCTTGAATGTAGTTTATCAATGTTATTATCTATTCGCCCATTATACTCGCCAAGCAAAACAAGTGCTCTCGCCAAAGAAACTCAAAAAGGGATTTTATCTCATTGAACTTGTCAAGAATTCATCCCCTGTAACTCAGAAAGGGAACTCATCTTCACTAAAAATTCATCATCACTAGAACTCATCCTCACGTAAGGCTAATCCTCATCAGGAACTTCTCACACAAAATCTATCCTAATTAAGAACTTAAACGTAATTGAGACCTGTCCTCTTTAGGAATTTCTCCCATGGAAATCATAGTCACTAGAATCTTGTCCTCACATATAACTTGTCTTCATTGGAAACTTATCCTCACACAAAACTTGCCACATTGAAAACTCATCCTTGGAAAGCTATCGACCAACCATATATATTCACTTCACAATAAGCTTTATCAATTCTTACAATATGATTGTGTTTTTATTACTCAAATGTAGCCAAAATGTTGCCATTTATATATCATTAAATATTTACATAAACCCATAAATAGTGTATCAACTAATTAACGTGTGACTCAATAATACTCCATCATATGTTGACACATTTGATTGATTCAAATCACATAAGTTTTTAGTTTTTGTCGATAATCTAATAAAACTTCTTAGAGCTTCTCTCTCATGTCTCTTTCAAGCATGTTCCATAATTTTTAATAAAGTTCTTACATCACCCACAACATATTTAGATCTAACATACTTTTAGGTACAATGAGTGTAGATGATATCTATGACTAGAAGTCAACTATGGTTCTTCTTGTTGATAAGGGTTGATATGTGCAAGATGATCAGCAGGATTTTGTCACTTCAAAATAATTAAATTAGATGGAAGAATGTTTAACAAAGATGATCGAAAGAATCTCAGAGCAATCACGACATGAAATTCTTCTTATTTTTCCACTCTAAGAGTACAACTAAGCTAATTCTTCATATTGATTACAATATCAGAGTCTCCACACTCGCTCCATTGTTGACTTCCTGTGAAAGGGCTTCATCTCTCTTCAAAGAAACGATAGATTCTCTTCATCCCCGCCAATCCAAGAAATCTTTACTTGGCCTACTAATTCATTTTAGCTTTGATTGTCATAGCGAAACCTTCAATGCAGTTCAAAATATCAACTTGTAAAGCTTATTGAGGAAAGATAGAGCCAGTTGAACATGTTGCCCATTTCAAGTCAATTTCTCTTCTTATTATTGCTGATAGTATGAAATGCTCATTACTTGTGAGTCTTCACAACATTCAAAGATTTATCAATATGTGGTTCTTAGTACTTCCTCTAGAAGCATTAATATCTTTTTGAAATTTAAGTGACATTTGTAACACACATTACTGGCTTACAGAGATCATTTAATAGAGGTTGCAAGCTCTCTTGAATATGAGATAAGATCCTGATGAATCTCTTTTACACTATTATTATTTTCCAATTTGAAATTTTGAACTCTAAGGATCTAAATCCTGTAATTACCTAGGTTGCACTCACTCAATGCATGCAAAAAGGTTCAATTAGGCATGCACTCGGTTTTTAATAGCTAAAGATATTATTC